CTAGAAGACCTCCAAGATCCCTTCCAGCCCTAGGATTCTATGATCTTGGGCAGGGGGTTGGACTAGAAGACCTCTAAGGTCCCTTCGAGCCCTAGGATTCTAGGATCTTGGGCAGGGGGTTGGACTAGACTTCTAAGGGCCCTTCCAACCCTATAACTCTATGATCATGGTTAGCAGGTTGGACTAGAAGACCTCCACAGTCCCTTCCAGGCTTAGGATTCTATGATCTTGGGCAGGGGGGTGGACTCGAAGACCTCCAAGGTCCCTTCCAGGCTTAGGATTCTATGATCTTGGGCAGGGGGTTGGACTAGAAGACCTCCAAGGGCCCTTCCAGCCCTAGGATTCTATGATCTCGGGCAGGGGGTGGACTACAAGACCTCCACGGTCCCTTCCAGCCTTGGGATTCTATGACCTTGGTCAGGGGGCTGGACTAGAAGACCTCCAAGGTCCTTTCCATCCCTAGGATTCTGTGATCTTGGTCAGGGGGTTGGACTAGAACAGGGCTTTTCAACCAGTGGTAGGGGTACCACCGGTGGTACATGGGCACCTGGCAGGTGGTACGCGAGCATCCTAGAAAAGTGATAGCAGGGGAGGGGAATGGGCTGAACCGGTGGCAGCACCGCACAAGCCTCAGTGAGAGACGGCTGGAGCTGCAGGGCTGTCAGGGCTCAGCGGAAGTGCCAGGATCAGCGCCAGAATCCAGCTGGAGCTCGGCGCTGATCCAGACGCTTCTGCTGAGCCCAGAAGAAGCGCCGATCAGCTGGAATGTTGCAGCCTCTCCAGGGTCTTGTGATTTACACTCAGATGCTGAGCAACTGATTCATATTTATGACGGTCACAGTGTCCCAGGGTCATGGGAAGTGACCAAAACCTGCTGCAACCACCCAGCAGACGGGGGGGGGGGAATAAAAATCAAAAACCCCCCACCCCACCCCCACTGTCAATCCTCAACAGAAATGCTCACAACAATGGAAACCTCCGACAGGAGGAAGAGCGCGGTCGGGTGGGCAGGCAGGTGTCTTGCTCGGCTGTGGCTTGGGGGGCACTTTTTTCAGTGCCATTGTAACTTCGAACAGTCACTAAGCGAACTGTTGTAAGTCGAGGACTACCTGTACTTCATCACTTTTTTCCTTTTTTTTTTTTTTTTGGTCATCAAGTTTTTGACACCTTGCTGGGCGACTGGTGGTCCTCGGATGTTGCCATATCCTAAAAGTGGCACAATGGGTGAAAAGGTTGAAAAGCCCTGGACTAGAAGACCTGCACCGTCCCTTCCAGCCCTAGGGTGCCATGAAATGCTGAGAGTAGCTGGTGGAGAAGCAGAGAGCTGATGGACCCTGAGCAGTGCCCCATGGATAGTCTCTTCCTCAGAGTAAAAGGAAGACCTGCATGCCTCTCCTAAGCACATTTACCCCAGACAAAGCATGATGATGATGATGATCATCATCATCATCATCATGATCATCATCATCATCATCATCATCATCATCATCATCATGCCATTATTAAGAAAAGAAATAAAATGGATGTTTTCACTAAGTGCCCAAATCCCCAGTGGATTGAATGAAGGCATTCCAAATTCACTATTTATTCGATTCTTAGAGACTGCAGGTTTTTGCTTGCTTCTTTCTTGAATTATTTGCCCCAGGAAAAGGCATTTACTCTTTTCCCAAAGCCTATTATTTTGCTCATCCAGATGTATTAAGTTGGATGCCTTTAAGAATACAGCCAACCTCCTGCATCCACCTTAGAAATGAAACCCGCTGTTCTTTCCTATTGACAAGTGGATCCAAACTGAGAAGGCTTTAGCTGGTAAGCAAAGCTCAGGTGAATCTATAATATAAAATCCATTTCCTCCGGCTTTAATTTTTAATAGTTCGAAGGGGGAAAAGAAGCAAAAACGGCTGGGCCTGTTTGAGCTCTTGGAGAATTTGTGACTTCATTCCGCTTTATGTCAGAATATGCATCAAGCCAAAAGGGGGAAAAAGGAGAAGAAGAAAATAAGTTTTGGGGATATTATCAAACGGGTTTCATTGCTTTAGCCTTTCCCTCTGTGCAACACTGGGGAGGGGGCTTCACCAGGTGCGGCTGGGGGAAGATTCCTCTTCACTGGGTACCCATAGCAGGGAATATTTGGAGCTCGGGGTGGATTATGGGGTCCTTGGTGCTCTCTGAGCCTGGTGGTTTTCTGGCAGACCTTTCATGGCCCAACTAGGGAACATCATCAGTGCCAGAAGGGGGGAGGAGGAGGAGGAGGAGGAGAGAAAGAAAGAAAGAAAGAAAGAAGGAAGGAAGGAAGGAAGGAAGGAAGGAAGGAAGGATGGATTCTGGGGTCCTTGACGCTCTCTGAGCCTGGTGGTTTTCTTGCAGACCTATCATGGCCCAACTAGGGAACATAATCAGTGCCAGAAGGTAGGGCGGAAGTCTCCTCCTCCTCCTCCTCCTCCTCCTCCTCCTCCTCCTCCTCCTCCTCTCTTAATGACGGTCACAGCATCTCCATGGACAGTGATAAAAATTCAGAGGCTTGGCCTATTTATGACAGTTTGTGGTGTCCTGGGGTCACGTGACCCCCTTTTGTGACTTAATGCCAAGCAAAGTCAAGGGGGGGGCAGCCACCTTCCCTTAACAAACCACGTCACTAACTGAAGAACTTCAGTGATTCAGAGGCTTAACCAACTGGCTTGTGTTTATGACGGTCGCCGTGTCCCGGGCTCAAGTGATCCCCTTTTGCGAACTTCACTTAATTCACTTGACTTACTTAATGACCATGTCACTAACTGAATCACTGCAGTGATTCATTTAACCACCATGGCAAGATAGATCATAAAAGCTCATCAATTAAAAACTCTCTCGCTTAGTGATGGAAATTCAGCTGTGGCCGTACGTTGAAGACCCCCTGCATGCACAAACTTCTTTGGGCCCAAGACTCTTTGTGGGTCTCCTGCCAAGCGCAGGAGGTGAAACTGGGGAGGGGGTGGCAGGACCTGGCTGGAAACAAGAAGCCATGGACACAAACACACACACACACACACACACACACACACACACACACACACACACACAGTTTTTGCAGGGACCCAGAGAATCCAGCCTTTTCATCCCTGACAGGTTGTTGAGGAATCTTGAACAACCGAGGAATCTTATTGGGAAGTAGATTCATTCCGGCGTAGATCAGTGGCTAAACTTTACGTGGCTTCTGGCCAGGGTTCAACGCAACCTACTTCTACTTCATGGGAGTTCTGGTCCATGAATGGGTGAAGAAATTGTGGCTTGGGAAGGCCGATACATAGAATAATAACAGAGTTGGAAGGGACCTTTGAGGTCTTCTAGTCCAACCCCAAGAAGAACTTACACCATTTCAGACAAATGGCTGTCCAGTCTCTTCCAGTGTTGGAGCATTCACCGCTTCTGGAGGCAGGTTGTTCCACTGGTTAATTGTTCTCACTGTCAGGAAGTTTCTCCTTAGTTCTAGGTTGCTTCTCTCCTTGATTAGTTTCCATCTGTTGCTTCTTGTCCTGCCTTCAGGGGCTTTGGAGAATAGCTTGACTCCCTCTTCTTTGGGGCAGCCCCTGAGATACTGGAAGACGGCTATCCTGTCTCCCTTGATCCTTCTCTTTGTTAGACTGCACAGGTCCCTCAACCATTCAGAATAACAGAGTTGGAAGGGACCTTGGAGGTCTTCTAGTCCAGCCCCCTGCTCAAGCAGGAGACCCTATGCAATTTGAGACAAGTGGCTGTAGAGTTTTGTCTTAAAAACCTCCAGTGATGGAGCACTATTAGGAAATTCCTCCTTAGTTCTAGGTTGCTTCTCTCCTTGATGAGTTTCAACCCGTTGCTTCTTGTCCGGCCTTCGGGGGCTTTGGAGAATAACTTGACTCCCTCTTCTTCTTTATAAAACCATAATGAGGCCACACCTGCAATACTGCAGCCAGGTTTGGTCATCATATCACAAAAAAGATGTTGAAAAAAATTCAGAGAAGAGCAACTAAGATGATCAGGGGCCTGGAGGCTAAAACATACGAAGAATGGCTGGCTGGTCTAAAGAAAAGAAGAAACAGGGGACTGTACTATCGTCACAAGGTCATAGACTCGCCAACGGGGTTTCTTCTCCCCCAGTGCAATAAGAGGTTTCGTGGTCTACCTTCCTACTCTTTGTTACCTACCTTCGACTAGTTCCTCTTTTCGTTGGACCTTAATTCCTCTTTGAAGGACTGTCACTCCTGTTAGTTGGTCACCTTGTCGAACGGTGGTCTTTAGTACCGCGCTCCATCACTGGAGATTTTTAAGAAGAGACTAGACGGTCATTTGGACAATGATATAGGTTCTCCTGCTTGGGCGGGGGGCTGGACTAGAAGACCTCCAAGGTCCCTTCCCTCTTCTCTTCTCTTCTCTTCTCTTCTCTTCTCTTCTCTTCTCTACTCTACTCTACTCTACTCTACTCTACTCTACTCTACTCTACTCTTCTCTTCCTTCCCTTCCCTTCCCTTCCCTTCCATTTCATTCCATTCCATTCCATATTCCATTCCGTTCCGTTCTGTTCTGTTCTGTTCCGTTCCGTTCCATTCTAATATTATATTAATTCTATTCTATTCTATTTTGTTCTATTCTGTTCTCTTCCATTCCATTCCATTCCGTTCCATTCTAATATTATATTAATTCTAATATTATATTAATTCTATTTTCTATTCTATTCTATTCTATTCTATTCTATTCTATTCTATTCTATTCTATTCTATTCTATTCCATTATTATATTAATTCCTATTCTATTCTATTCTATTCTATACCATTATTATATTAATTCTATTCTATTCTATTCCTATTCTATTCTATTCTATTCTATTATTATATTAATTCTATTCTATTCTATTCTATTCTATTCTATTCTATTCTATTCTATTCTATTCTATTCTATTCTTTGTGGCAGCCCCTCAGATATTGGAAGACGCTGTCACGATTTGGGCTCTCCTGCTCTAACCACTCGCCTTTCCCTCTTCCGCTTAGACCTCACCGAAGCCATCTTCGACTTCATCCAGAAAAGCCGGAAGATGATCGTGGTCCTGAGCCCCGACTATCTCCTGGAGAAGAGCATCAGCCTTCTGGAGTTCAAGCTAGGTCTCCTGTGCCAGAACAACATTGCCACCAAGTTGGTGGTGCTGGAGTACCAGCCGTTGCCCCAAGCCCACCCAAGCATCCAGCAGCTGAAGGAATCTGTGGCCTTCGTGATCTGGAAGGGCGAGAGGTCCAACCACGTGGGTTCCAAGTTCTGGAAAGCCTTACGTCTAGCTCTGCCTCTCCGGAGTCTCAGCGCCTGCGGCAACGCTGCCTGGAACGAAAGCTGCTCCTCGCATTCGGACACCAGCTTGGACCCGGTCCAGAAGAAGAGGAGCCGGTTGAAAGGGCCCCCCGCGAAGCCCAAGGGGGTCCCCGTCCAAAGAGGGCTTGCCTCCTTGCCCAGAAGGAAGAGCAAACCGCCTGCCAAGCCGTTCCTGGCCTGCCGCTGCTGCGTGGCCTCCTCCAAGGAGAAGCGCCATCTCAAGAGCCCCGGCCAAGCGGTAGCCAAGCCCAAGCAGGAGAGGCCGTGCCAGAGGCCGCTGCTGGGAGACTCTGCGGGGGTCCACCTCCAGAAGAATGGCAAGAAGCATCCTCCGGAGTCCCAGGGGGCCCCTCTCGGTCGCCAGAGGTTTGCCGAGGTGTCCAATAACAATGACTTCTATGTCCTTTAACCGGCGACGGTGGGATCAGCTGCAGATCTGAGAAGGAAGGAAGGAAGACTGACCTCCATTGAGGACCTGGAGCAGGGGTCTTCAAACTTGGCCCTTTTATGACTTGTGGACTTCAACTCCCAGAATTCCTCAGTCAGCCATGCCTGGGTTGTTGTTTTTTTCCTCCTACTAAAGCGGAGAGATTGCAGAGGAAGGGATTACAAGAGAGTAAACGAATGCTTGCTGGAGAATTCTGGGAGTTGAAGTCCACAAGTCATCAAAGGGCCAAGTTTGAAGGCCCTTGTATTAGACTTTCGGGGGAGGGGCAGCCACGTTCAGGATCCAGAATCGGGACCCTTTTCTCTCTCCGTAGGGTGGAAGAAGTCCACAAGTCATAAAAGGGCCAAGTTTGAAGACCCCTGATCTGGAGCTTCTAGAAGCCATGGGACCAGTCTACGAGTAGATTTACGTGG